GGCTTGCTGTCAGCACCAATCAGCACTGTCAGCAAGCCTCAGTTGCCAAGGTACAACTAGGAGGTCTCTTTAAGGCTCCTGATTGTTCCTTTGCAGCTATGATATTATCTTCCCCACACCTGATGCCACCTAGGATGTGAGTGTGGTTTGGAGAAACATTCTTAAGGGCCACATTAGCACCCCTGCTGGGTCTAATGCGGTCCCGACTACTGCATTCAGGTTTGTGAGGGTGAGGAGCTGATGATAAACTGGATTAGAAGAGAACTAGGTGAGTTGAAATAAAAACGTTCAAATTTTGAGGAACAAAACTGGCCATAACTAGAATGACTTTGAATCAGTTTTCCAGAGTCCTGTCTGTAGGCCGAGACCACGTGCCATTTTCGGATGAGTACTCTGGGGGCACCAGGAGTAATATTGAGACAGGCTAGAGTCACATTGCATCCATGGATAGGCATGGCTGGCGCTTCGGTATGAATGAGGTAGAATGAGAATGGTCTGTTTGTTACTCATTAAGAAAAGTATATAAACAGCCTTGTGCAAAGTGCACGAATCTATCCTTCTTAAAACGCCACAGCATCTATTAGTAAAGCAACAGGTTTCCCACAGTGACAGTAAAATCTGATTTGCCAGTGCTTTGATTTACTGATTGAGAGGGGTCCTTGTTGTTTTAAAAGGGGAGTGCAGCACCCCAGCGAGAAAGGTCATGGGGCTGTGTGGCAGTTTTTCTCAAGATCTCTGGTGGTTTGTTATCCTTCAAAAGCAATCTTTCCATACATTTTATCTCCCTAGGCACCTTCCCCTTCATTCTTATCTATATTTTATGCTGTCTGGATATCTCGGGCCATTAAGCCTATCTCTTTTATCGCTGCAATCTTTCTCTTCTCTCTTGAAGGATGTTTTCTGCTCCACTGTCCCCCTCTACATCTTTCTCTCTTTTATTTTGTGCCTCCCTCCTCCCTTTGACCCTGCATTTTCTCGCTGGCACATGCAACGCCTCCCCCCCCGGGAGACGGGAGTCTCCCCATCAGCGGGAGTGATGGCATAAAGGAGATCTGGGGTGACTGGCACTCTTTTAGCACACCTACAAGGGTAAGATGTGGAAGTAACAGCCGCTTAAGACAAGGACCTGCAGTAACAACGAACTTTTATTTCGTAACATTTATATACCGCTTGATTGCAAAGAAAACTCTCAATGGGCTTGCATTGTTCAGATGAGGTACTGAAAGTTGAAGTGGCAACAGTAGGAATGCCGTGTCTAGTGTTTCCTACAAAAGATGGCAGCACTTCCCCTTGCCCTTACTAGTGCATGATGGGATCTTACCTATAGTTGGGGGCTTGATGCCAGAAGGGCTCCTCTTTCTACAACTCAAAATATCTCCTGTGCTGGCGGGTTGTTCCCACATTGCATCAGGGAAGTGGGACTCCTGTGCTTGGGAGTCTCATACTATGGTATGGAATCCCCTCCCTTGCTTTACCTGTGTGGGGTTCATTGTCCCTGCAGATCCAGTTACAGTTGTGGAGATAGGATTCTTGGCGGATGTTTGTTGGAGTCCAAGGGTGCAGTACTGTTCGGCTGGCTGTTACTTATGCAAGTTGCACTTTCACCACTGTCCTTGTCACCAAGTTCTCACAGCTGTGCTCCAGGTATTAAGCACACGATGACAGTAATGTACTGGTGTGCCTTGATAAGCGCTATCTGCATTCCCTGGCACGGTCTTATATGTTTTGCAGAGTTAATCACCATTGTCTCTTCTGTTGTAACAGTAGGAGCAGAGAAGGAGGCAGAAAGGAAGGTAGTAGGCAGTTGTTGGGGACTGCCTGTTGACTTAAATGGGAGCACTTTCTTCTGCAGGCGTATCATTGCAGAAGGCAGGGACTGTTGGAAGTGCAACAGCAGGGATCATTCCATTTGTCATGTAAGAGTTAATTCTGTTACTGTAAAAGTGAACTAGCCAATACGGCAATGGGTGGAGATGTTGCTTAGCATCCAAGCAAAGTGGTACGATCTTCACTGAGGCAACACATGCACTGATTGACTGTATAGTTCTGAGCAAGTATCCCCTCATATCTTTGGTTGAATATCTCCTTGCTATGTTCAAGACCTGAAGGAAGAAAGGCAAAACATCTCTCCTTTACTTCTCGAATTATACACTGCTTTGTTTCCTAGTTTCCTAAGTAACGTGTTATCTGGTTTCTTTTCTCTCTGGTCTCCTATCTGCATTGTTTATGTGACTTTGCTAATGGGGACAAGCCTTGAATGGTGTGCTTCACTGGTGTAAAGATGTTTAGAAGCAAGTCTATACTGTCTAACAGGAAGAACCTGAGGCTAGGATTACTCTTCAAATCCATACCAGGCTACTTCATTATACCCACATAAAACTGTCCTGGTATTATTTGCGTTTATTTTATTCTCAGCTGTAAGTTAGGACCCTCTGTCTATAGAGAAGCCAGTAAGAGGATTTTAAACTTGAATGAAATCTCTGGTTGTTCTGAATGATCCTCAGGTACTTGCAAGAATTACTATGAAGGAATTATTACCAAGTGCAGGCTGCATGTAAGTGTTTACCTGGTGTTCTTGTTATGGAAGATCTTCACATTTTCATTTAATCGTGCGGAGAGTTGCACATTTTTCAAGACCAAACGACACTTTTATACCTTTGCTGATATTTTGTGTGGCTATGAGGTTGTTAAGTGTACTTGGATTCAGCAAATAATTTTATATCATCCATATATCAAAGGTGCATGGTTTGTGTTCTTTCCTTCCTTTTTTGGAATCAGTACCTAGTGCTAGAGTTGAGAGTATTATAAGGGCTAAACAAACCCATAATAGTAATAATAATAGATATTATTAATATTTGCATGTTTATACCAGACCTCTTCAGATGAATTAAAATATCCAAATTATATGACAAGGAAAAGTAAATTGCTTAGCAATACAATATAAAGTTTTACAAAAAAAAGTATATAACATTGTTTCTTCTGATGGGGGTGGGGGTGGGGAATGCTTCTCTAGATACAGGAGAAAAAACATTTCTCTTGCAGATCGTGAAAACTGTTGGGTTCATAACACACTTAGGCCTGACTGTAAAATAGGACAAGGCCTAGACAGGCAACCTAGTGTTTAGGTCATATCTGTCCCCTCTAAGGATTCCACCTAGCCTCTAGTGATCCTATGTATGGCAACACATCCTCAAACTGCTTGTTCTATAGAAGGATGAAGCATAATGAGCTGAAAGTCCATTTGTTCAAATCTGCTTGAGCTCAAATCTTTTGATGACTTTCAGCAGGGTTGAAAAATTTGCAGCCTTCCAGATGCTGCCAGACTCCAACTTGTTGGATTGATTAGATGCTAGGAGAGGATATATTTATTAGATATTATCCTTCTTTCCTCCGCAGAGTGCCGTCCCTTTGCAGCTTAAAGGAAAGCTTGGATAGGCTAGTTTTAGCCTTTTAGTATTAGTAATCCAGGGTGCTTTAAAGGAGACTGGATTTTCCTGGTATTACCTTCTTTTCTCCCCCTCAAAATAATAATCACACAGACTTTTTGAGAAAAGGTAAAAATAGCATTTACTCAGTCAGTCTACGTCTTCAAGAATAACAGATACAGCAGATGTAGGCAGGCTTAAAAGTGCTAGCTAAGTTACTAACAAATACTAAAGTCTAGCTTAAAAATGGAATTTGAACTGGAGCTAGGACTTACAGATGCTCTCATATTACAGACATACTGGAAATAGGAGAATGTGCCCAACCATAGTTTCATCTCTTCCTGTCAAGGCATCAGAGGGAAATGATCTCAGAGTTATCTCTAGCAAGTTTACAGGAAAGCTCTGTGAGCCTTAGCACCTGCATGTGACTATCTAGCAAAACATGAATTGTTGGTTCAACTGCAATAAATGTCCCACACAATTCCCATCAGCACCACCCGGCATGGCCCAATGGTCAAGGGTGGTGGCAGTCAGAGTCTAGGAACACCTGGAGAATCACAAGTTCCACATTTCTTTAGGTGTTTCTGCCTCCTTCCCTGCCTGACCCTAATATGGGCAGAATGTTACTGACTTAGCTTGTATTCGTCGTGTAATTAAACATGAAGAAATTATACATAAACACAAGATTTCACCCCACGGAGTGCTTGCATTTTATAGCGTTCTTGTTCACCTCTCCTTCCTTCCCCATCACCCAGTGACTGAGCATGTCAAAGCCTGACAACAATGGATGGTAGCAACTGTTACCAACGTTCTTAATTGTTGTGTCTCTGAGTCTGTGTGTGTTCCATGTTTTTCATAATTAGACTACAATAAATATGTTCATAGTCTCTATTGTTAGGCATTTGAAAATGTCATCAAAACTAAAAAGGCTATGTTTTAAATATTATCAAAATAATTACATTCTCACTGATTTGATCATCAAACATGTCAACTGTTTTTCAGCATTCTAAAGTAAATTATTATCAAGGGGGAAACGAAAGCAAGGAAGGAGGTGCTTTGGGAAGCAGTGCTTTTGCACATAACTCTGTAGTATCTTCTACGTTCCAGTGCACAACTGGCTTCGTGGTCTAAACTACAGCTGGTAGTATAAACCAACGGAAACTCAGAATTCACTTTACAACTTAGCACAATCACTTCTCTGCATGGTGTCTGTGGTTTGCATGCTTTAAACCACTGCCTTCCTGGGATTTAAGACACACAGTTCCTTGGTAATGGCTCATCTAGATTATTATTTTGTTCCAGAAAGAGCATCTGTATTGGGGGAGGGGACATGGAAACCACACTTTGCCAAAATACTTGAATATTCTTTTCATTAGGAAAATGTGGAGCAATGACAGCTGTGTTGTTGAAGTTTTGAGAGTTGTGTACAGTTCATTTATTTATTTTTCTATCTTTCTATCTTATTTCTATCCCACATTTCCCCCAAGGAGCTCAAGGGGGTGTCCATGGTTCCTCCCTCACATTTTCATTGCCACAACAACTCTGTGAGATAGCTTAGGCTGAGAGGCAGCTTTCTGGCAGAGTGGGGATTTGAACCCTGGCCTCTCAGGTCCTAGCTCATCGCTTTTACCACTAAACTATACTGCTTCTCCATACAAAAGAGTTTGGGTTGTATCCAAAGAGTAGTCTACAGAAGAGGAAGGTAGTAGCCGAAAGTATGGCTGCAGCCTCCACTCCCTAGTTCAGGGGTAGGCAACCTAAGGCCTGGGGGCCGGATGTGGCCCAATTGCCTTTCCAATCCAGCCCACAAACAGTAGAATGTGTCCTTTTATTTAAAATGCATCTCTGGGTTATTTGGGGGGGCATAGGAATTCTTTCATTCCCCCTCCCAAAAAATATAGTCCGGCCCACCACATGGTCTGAGGGACGGTGGACCGGCCTACGGCTGAAAAAGGTTGCTGACCCGTGCCCTAGCTCCTTAAGTGGGAAAGGGATGATTTTTAATGACATCCAAGAAGTTTATAAAAAGTTTCTCTATGACCTGCTAAGATCCTCATCTTCTCTGTCAAGGAGGAAAACCACAGGATGCTTGTTGATTGGCTACCATGGAATTAATGGCAGTATGCAATAAAGCAAGTGTTAGAGATACCTGTCATCAAATGATCATGCAAATAGCTCTCTCACAGTTCTTGATGGGAATTGGGTTTGTTAGGGAGATGATTAACTCATGCTGCAGTGTGAGGGCACAGATATGTGTTGCTTTTTGTTCGTTGTGGACACCCATCTTGCCTAATCAGTTACTTGATACTGAAAGGAATATTTTTAGACTGCTGCTTGTGCATATATTACAGGGCCCATGCCTTGAGAAAACTGGGCTACAGGTTGTAGTGATACAGAAAGAACAGAGGTGCATGCTGCTGTCCACTTCTGAGTAAATTTATTAGGTCATATCTGTGTGTGTGTGTGCGCATGCACACACACACAGACACAAATTGTTTGGGCAAAACACTTTATGAAACATAAACAATGCTGAAGAATGCAGCAATACACACTGAGGCTGCATTTCTTGTTACTTCTAAGGCAAAGAACCACTTGTCTGGATTGAATTCTGATATTCAGTAGCCCTCAATTGGAAATAGTTAGAATATGATTAAAATCAACAATTGCTAAAAAGAAATAAAACACATAAAACTTATGCATGTCTGTTTTGACTTGCCTAAACAAAAATGTTTTAAGCAGGCACCAAAAAGAGTACAGCGAAGGTGTCTTCTGCCTGTTGTCAATAGGCTGTGGGTTCCAATGTGTAGGTGCTGCCAACTGAAAGATTGATTTCTAATGAGTGTGGAATGAGCATTATGTCACACCTGTAACAGTGCCAGTTCTAAAGATCAAAGCTGTCAAGTGGATATATGTGGGGGAAGGTGATCACACAAGTAAACTGGCTCCAAACTGTTAAGGGCTTTATATACTAACAGTACTGCCAGTAACAAATGGACAACCACTGCAGATCTCTGAACAGAAGTTTTATATGCTGACATTCCTGTCAGCAACTGTTTTACAGCATCCTGCACTTACTGCAGCTTCCAGATCAAGTGCAAGGAATGCCTCATGCAGAATGGATTGCAGTAATCCAATATGAAAGTCACCAATGCCTGAACTACTGTGGTCAAGTTCTCTCGGCTCAGGAATGGCCAAAGTTATTGCACCAGCCACAACTCATAAAAGGTGCATCTAGCTACTTCGATTACCCAGGTCTCTGGTGACAGAGCTGGATCCAGAAGCACCCCCAGACTGTGAACCTGCTCCTTCAGGGAGAGTGCGACCCCATCCAGGCTAGGCAGTTGACCAGGGATGGGGTCTGTGTTATCTAATTGCCAAAGATCAGGACACTTTATTTCCTGGGAAAGATTCACAGCGAAGAGAATGGGAGTGGAAGGTATGTGGAATTGTGTTTGCCATCATCTTTAAACATGGGTGTGAGAAGAAGGCTTAATTTCTTCTGTCGTCCTTTCCCTTTCATTCCTTTCTGTCCTTAGATGTGCCAAGGAAAACTGTGAGGGAAATTGGAAACACTTCAACGTTTTCGTCACAATTTCCTCTTGCAACTGAGGATGCTATATTCATTGGATCCTGTTATATTAAAACTCTGTTTCTTATCCAAGCATAGTGGTTGCTCCCCACCCCCAACAAACACAATGGCACCTTCCTCTTCATATGTTTTTATTTAGCTCCAGGAACTAGCTGTTCCGCGGGTTCACTGTAATACCACTCAATAGCGGTAGTCTCTCACCCAACGAAGCAGAATTGACAGGGTTGATGTTGTCACAAATTATATGTGATAATTTCATAGCTTCTTTTTGGGGTGCGTCCAAGTGGTGGCTTCATGCAGTAACAGTAGTACTTTTTTGTTTTTTGGCACACTGAAAGAGGACACCTCACACCCACGATCCAGGTGGGGCTGTGAAGCTCTGCTTACAATCAGACTAGTCTAGCACAGTATTTTGTTGGTTTTGGGACCACTGTCTTTGTGGAATGCTACATTTTAGTCCTTCACAGCCATCAAGCTCAAAAGGCTTCCCAATGAAAACTCAGTAGTTGCATTTGCCCTCTGTGACTGCGATCCTGCCGAACTATGGAAGAGACCCATGCACAAAACCAGAGGGCTCTGTGAGGTTTACACTGTAGCTACCATGAGCAGCGAAAGAGGCACAACATTTTAAAATCCAAATGCTAACAATTGAATTGGAAAGCTTCAGCACTTGAAGGTGGATGTGGTGAAGGTTCAGCATGTGGTGACAGCTTTTTAAAATGCCACCATCAAAGGAATCACACTCAAAGGTGCTGTAAAAAGTTTAAGGGGGAAAAGAAAGAAAATGATTTTTTTGTATTTGATCATATATTGGGTCTTTCTTTCTCACACACAGACATGCACACACTATTGTTATATATTGTTTTTAATACTTGATTGGGAGCCGCCCAGAGTGGCTGGGGAAACTCAGCCAGGTGGACGGGGTATAAATAATAAATTATTATTATATATAGAGAGAATGAAAACAAAATGTAAACAAGTGTATCTGAGGACTTCTTGCTTATCGAAGGGATAATATGTTGTCGTTCAAGCTTTCTTCTTTTTTTGCAACCACTCGTAGCTGAGTAAGATTGTCTATGGCTTAGTGGGACTGTGCAAACTGTGTGGACTGCTACAGATAACTTTGCTACTCCCTGGACCCTTTTACTGCTACCTCATGCTGAGCTGAGCCAAGATTTGACTTAGTATGCCATCTGAACTGGGGCTTGGCAAGCTATCTCTGCTGTAGCCAAAGTCTGCTCTTGGTTTATCCTTGGCAGAGGGTGGAGATTAACCACGAGCCCCAGGCTGGATCTAGACACATCAGAGAAGTGATTCGGTTAAATGCGTTGTAAACTTCATGCAGAGAAATCCTGTTGGCGAAAAAATGGGACTCCGCAGCGCCATCTGGTGCTGCAGTGTTATGACGCATATAAAGCGTGTTTTCTTTACAAATGTAGCTGAGTCCCCAGTTCAGACAACTCACTAAGCCAAACTTTTATTCCCCAAAGTGGCCAGGCCAGGGGAACTGCTGGAGTGAGGAATTTGCCTTCAGTTCAAGACTGGCAGGACATACAAGTAGAATGAGGTGATAGAATCCTGAGGTGTCAGAGAGGACTGTGCCATTTTCAGCAACTATTTTCTACATGCAGGGAGTTCCTCTCCACCCCATGTTAGGGGAGTGCCCCAAAGCGGGGTTCTCCACCTCAGTCTGAATTGATACAGTCCACTTCTACCACCTCCAGCCTCTGCTGCTTCATTCTCACAACATTCAGCTGCATGTGGAAACCAGGCCGCAGCTGGGCCTCAAGTAATTTATATCTTGGCCAATGCTGATTCCTGTAATGACTCTACTGGCACGGAGGTAGTTTCTTTTATTCTCTTCCATGTTCCCTTAGGAGGCCAGCCTTGCCTCATTCTTTTGTAGGAACAGGTTCCTCGGACGTTGTCAGCAGCTGAGAAAAAATATTGATGATTTTTCTCATCGCCCCAAACACTTGCCTCCCTGTTATATGATTGTAGTGGTGTTTAGGGGCTAACAACTCTTTTCGGCCTCCAGCTGTTATTGTTTGTTCCTTGGCATGCGTGTTGCCCGACTGTCATTTGGAACGATGGGTCTGTATTTGCCATAGTACCAAAAAAATAAAATAAAAGGTTTATTTTGTCTGTCTTCCAGCTGTACTTGTAAGCTTGGTATTTACTTGGGTTTTGATAACTAGTGTCTTGTGGGAAGAAAAGTCTGTGTTTGCCTGTTTGTTATCATCTGTGCTTGGGGAAATTAATGCTTCTGCTTCTGTTCCTTTAGTAATGGTAGATATGGACTGGTACTGAAGGCATAGCTTTTCCGGGGGGGGGGAGTTGCACCCCCATAGACCTGATAGATTTTTATAGACATCCTGCTAACTTTGAGTATCTTAGTGATGAAATAAAATGCTCACATTAGTTGGGTCTTAAAATCCGTAACTGAGAATTGGACTCCCTTGTCAGCAATCAGACTTTCTGCAGTGAGCTATCATGTCTGTTATCAGTGTGCTCCCTCCACGGCAAGAACCAAATATATTGCCCTCTTTATCTCTATTTCCTAGCAACTTGATGACTGCTGCGTATTTTAGTGAATATTCGCCCCCTCTGAATATTCCTGGGGGAAACGGTGTCTTTCTCTGGAGCATACATACAGACATGTGGTTTATTAGATATGGAATTATGCTTGATGTGGAATGCATTGGCCAGAATGCCTCCATCGTCACTGTAAAATTCCAGGTTGTTGCTCCATTTGTTTTTCATTTAAGAAATCTTGAAGGGTTATACTAGACTGTCTGGTTGTTTACTCATTATTTTGCTTATTTAAAAATTATACTTTTCATAAAAATTGCAGTAACTTTGATGAGAACCGTCAAAGCATAAGAAAGCATTAATAAAATCTGGTTGGGAAGAAGGGAGGAAATCATGTGTCAAAGAGCTGTCCGAATAACCATTTTCGATAGATGGGCAGGGATGATTCCTTCTGAACCTCCAATGGCAGGGAGTTTCAATGGTGGAGCAAGCCAATCAGGCACCTGGGGTGGTGCGCGTGCTCTGC